AGACAGGATGCTCATTTGAGAGTTTTGGAGGTGCTTAATTTTGGAGGGTTAAAATTATTGACATGGCTGTGGAGTGAGGAAGATAAATACTAATACAAACCTAGTCATAATTGTTTTTAAAATGGTTCCTTCAATGTATTGAAAAAGCAGTATGAAATATTAAAGTGATGCTGTTATTTGTTCTATGACCATATTAGTTAAATTATAGAACACCGCATAACTTGTAGGGGAGGAATTTTGGGAAGTATTCTTCTACAGTGCGATTCTTCAAGGAGAGACTCTATTATGGTGACACAATAATTTTCTGCAGATAATTTAGTGGAGTGATTAAATAATGTTAATTTATTTTATTATGGAATAGGTTTGGGGGTTATTCAAACCACAGGGCATTCTAACAAATCAGTCAGGGACAATGAAAGAATAATATAAACAATGTATTTTTTATAGGAGAAGCAATAAGGTTATAATCATTGCATTTATATACTTGGATTTAGACGTAAAGCACCAGGGACAAGTTCTACTTTTTTAAGATGGAATGGGAATTTCTTAGAAATTTTACAATGAGATAGACACACACTCCATACTGGACTACAATCCCCATAACTTCAAGCTAGAAGGTTCCAGCTCTTTATCTGCAAATGTGGAGATGCTTCTAAAGCTAATGTATGATATATAATTCTGTCCTGGCAGCTTAATAACCACTGCATCACTGGGAGGTGAGGTTGGAAAGGAACAGGGTGACATGCATGGAGTGTGACAAACAGAAATGTTCTTTATCCATTTATTGTAAAAATAGCTTGATTCCTGGAAACATCAGACACACATCTAAGCAATTTTCTACAGAGAACTACAGAGAAGTGGTTTGCCATTTGTTCCCCCCACCTCAGATTTTTTTAACCTAACAGTCTTGTTTACTGCCATCCTCTTTTGCCCTCCTTCACCAGTAAATTTTGGTCTGAAATACCAGCACTTTCCTGATATTCACTTGAAATAAACTAATGTAGCTGGGGCAGACTGGCTAGAATCCCAGAGTTATAGGCTAGGGAAGCTGAATAAGCATTGTGAAAGGAGGCAAGGGCTAACCTCCTTTGTGGCATTGTGAAGAAAACAACCATACATTCCATAGATTCACAGAATATGAATTATGATACACCCAGGGGGTGGGAGAAAACCAGGGTCAAGGGTGACAGTGAATTATGTGTCTCAGAGTCAGCTACACCCAGGCAGTGCCAACATGTTAACTACCAAATAAATCCTGTTTAGTTTTGGAAATTTGGGTCAAGACTCATTATTTAATTGGGGTAACTGCCGGAATCCTGACAGAGAGCTCCCAGAACTGAGGTTTACTTAATTTTTTTTTTACAGTATGGATAAATTTTTTACAGTATGGATAAATGGATGAAGACTACTTCCACTTCCAAACACCCATCCAGGCAGGGAGGAGGATTCAAGTGAGGAATTAGCTTTCAATCATTGAACAATGGCTCAGTGGTTAA